GGGGGAATGAGAGACACAAGAGCATAGGAGAAAGGGAGGAGGGAGGAGAACTGGCTGGGGGATTGGCTGCATGGGGGATTTTAGATATCAGGTTATGACAGTTTCTGTAGCTCCGTGAGAAGGGTCAGCCTCTCATTACCGTCTGCATCCAACACAGAATGTAGACGACGACTCACTCCCCACCGTTTTACAACTCTACACTTATCTCTGTGATTACAACCCCACATCCTCATCTGCACTCAGTGTCCCTCCTCTGCCTTTGTTGCTATCAGAAGATTATTGGGCCGGACTGAACACTTCTCTTACTTAGGCCTGTAGAACTGTGGAACTCACACACATGCACGCACGCACACACACACACACACTCACACACAGTGTCTGCAGCTGTAAGAGGATTTATAAATGGAGGGGACATCATGGAACTGATATAAATGAATAATAAAATGTTACCTCAGCCAAAGAAGTTATGTTTTGGTCTGTTTGTTTGTTACGCAAAAATTACTCAACAGATTTCCAGGAAATGTTTTGGAGGGGTGGGGCATTACCCAATGACGAATCCCTAGGGATCCAGGATTTGTGTGCCCCACTCTCTTTACTAATGTGAGATGGGGTGGTTTTTTTTTGTTGATTTCTCAGGGACTTTTGAGCCTGGGCGAAGGAATGAGCTCTACTAAGTGTTTTAAAGAGTTTATTGGTCTTGACGTTTTAGTTGTTTGAGATAGAATAGTGCGTGATCCGTCAGTGAGTCCTGTCATGGTGCATGAGTCTGAGAGGAATATGCTGACGAGGCTGAACAAACCAGATCTGCAGCCATCTGTGGGAACAAGGACTTGGCAGGTAGAGGATGACTGACTCATGCCAGGGAGCAGACGTATGAAATTATTATTAGCTGACCATTAATGCCGGTGCTGTGAACAGCAGGAACAGAAAATTATTAAGCTACCAAAGTGAAATCTAGACCTACAAAGTCTCATCTAATTCCCTAACAGGATTATTTTTTATTACTCTTGCAGGCACAAGATTGTTCCCACATATTAAATATCTACTTTGGACAAGATAATAACTTGTTCCCACATATTAAATATCTATTTTGGACAAGATCATTATCTTGTGGGACTAAGTTAATATCTGAATAGTTAAGGCACAATTGGCTTAAGTTAAATAGTTTGTTTTACTGCTTTTAAGAGCAACAACAATTTCATTACATGAAATTACGATGTGAAAATAAAACTACTAGCTTAATTCTCTCCATCGCTGTGGCTGTGAGCATCTGGTCGTTAAAATGCATGTTAATTTTTAGTAAAACATCTTGGGCGTACAACTTAACATCTTTAGCACACAAAATAAAAAATATGATAATTTGGGACTTAAGGGGCTCCATTTAAAACTCAGTCTTAGCAACATAGAAACTTACAAGCTTTACAATTTTTGCAGGGCTATGATGATGGGATGATTCTCACTGCACTAATGCAGAAAAAATAACTTCACATGTAAAACTCAGAACGGCAAAGAGAAGTTTTGTCTCCAGTTTAATAGCATACAGCATCTGTTCATAAATACTGGTACATTCTTTTTTTTTTTTTTTTCCCCAAATACAGGATCACCAAAAGTAAACAAAACTTAGTCAGGCAAATCCAAAAGGAATTTTGTTAACAAAACCAGAAGCAAAGTTTAAGGCAAATTAATATTTAACATCTGAGGATTCATAACACTGAGCTGTGAAGTCGGTCTGGGGAAGTCAGGGAGTTCCCAGCTTCTTTCAAATGTTGGTACATGTCAGCGAAACTCATGGCACTGAACTGAGATCAGTAGCACAGATACTGTCAGTACAGTACAGAGCTCGGAGTGGCACAATTAATACACCGATCAGATCAGAGAAAGAAATCAGCAGATGTCAAAACATTGTGCTCTGCGTTAAAGATAATGGATCCTCTGATCTACCTCCAGCTCCTCATCTGTAACTGAGGAGACGCAGCAGAAATGTAACACTACCTTGTCATTTTGGAGTCTGATTGTCACTTAGGAGGCACATAGGAGTTTCTCTGTCAGTATCTCACTCACGTAGAGCCTCAAGTTTCCTTTTTTAGTAGCCGTTCCAAGATTGTCACAAAATAAATAACCATTTTGTTTTGAAGGGCTCCATGTTTACATACAAAAAAAAACTGTGACTATGATGAGCAGAAGAAGAAATCACTAAACCATCGAAGACAACAGGCACTTAAATATACTTTTGTCTACAGCACTTAAATCAAAAAAAACATTCATTTCAATGGATTCATACAAAAGCACGCTGCACTCATCACATTTTCATTTAGCTCAATACTGACTGGGGTGATTTCAAAAGTGCAATCAGTTTCAGAGCAATGGAAGAAAAAAAAGAGAGCGATAGCATGAAGGCAAGACAGAGAGCCTGACATCTCTAATAACATTACCCTCGCTGGGTCCATGACCTTATGCAACCAGCAGGGCGCCCACGTTAGTCACAGTGTGGCCAACCCTCACTTGAATTCAATGTAATTGAATTTAAAGTCGAACTGTGAGTCAGTCTTACTGGGAATTCGGTCTGGAATGTCCTGTGAGACAGAGCAGAGCAGACAAGATGGAGTCGAGAGAGAAAAATGGACGACAGGAGTGGAAAGAAAATAGAAAGACTGTCTGGAGGTCCGTTTACAGACGTTCTGGTTGAGTCCATCGAAATCAGGTTACTGCTGAAGTACTTAGATCATGTTAAATACAACACTGGAGGAACCTTGGACCACCCTCCCCTTACCTCTCACTTAAAACAAACATTCAAACACAAAGAACAGCTTGTCAGGATAAAACTCAGTAGATTACCAACTGCAGGAATGCACTTTCTGACATACGGCAGCTAAACTTTGCTTCAATTAGCAGAAGTGAGCTACTTCACGTGGCAAATATTCTACACAGATTCAATCAAACCCCAAAAATAGGGAGTTAGTGGCTTAACACTTTTCAGATAATTACTATGTATTGATGCTTTTCCAATAAAGGCTAAACTTATTAAATGCAATAACTTTCTCATCCACGTGCAGTTAAGGCTTAAGAGATAAATAACATTGCAAACACAGTATATACACATTAAGACTTAAAAATCCCCTGTAGTATTTACACTGGTAAGATCTTCAGTAGTCATTAAATAGTTTTGAGTTGTCATACTTCATGTGAAAGTTTCTGTTGAAAAGCTGTATTACACAGATGAAACCTGGAAAATACTTTAGGTTTTTAAATGATTGTCAACACATACTGTTTCACAGTTTCACAGGCCAGATATATATGGTATTCCAAATAGGACCGTTTCACCTTTTGAGGGTGTTTGTTCGTTTATGTAAAGCAAAATGGGTTAGCAGGTATTGCCACACTCGCCCTATGCACAGTTGTGTGTGTGGACAACTGCTGTTCAGGTGTTTCTGTGAGAAGAGAAGGAGATATTTTGGCATCCAAGTCTGTGCTGGGATCTGCCATGTTCCCTGGCTGCTCCGCGGGCTGACGAGGAGGCGCTGGAGGAGGAAA